AATGCAGGTCAGCTTGATTCTAGGGTCCAAACTCTTAGTCACTACCTCTCACTGTCCACCCACTAGATACACAGTGGAGATGGCTAATAGGTTTGTGGCAAAGCAGTCACAAAAAGGGAGACCAGGTCTTCCACGGTGACAAGGACTGTGCTGTAATGAAAGCCACGTAGCTGAAATTAGAAGTTGTAGTGAGCAGCCTGGGCTGGGATTTGAATGGGAGATAAATGGGAAAAGCATCACTTAAGAGGCTCCAGACCAGAAGAACAATTCTCAGTCATAATATAAGTTGGTCACAGGGGGGGTAGTACAGCATGGAGAATAAAGCCAATGATTCTGTAACATCTTTCTTTGTTGACAGATAGTAACTGCACTAGTTGGGTTGAGGATTTAATAATGTGTGTAACTGTTGATCCGCTGTGTTGTACACTTGAAACCAATATAAAATTATGTATCAACTATAGTTCAATGAAAAAAAAGAGGCCCCAGACAAACATCTATCAATCCACAAGGTCTGACCTAGGATCTCTGTGAGCACAGGGCTGTGCTGGGCCCTGCATGGAAGGCATCACCCAGAGCCTGCCCTCATAGGCCTAGAGGACAATTGTGGAAAGGGCTTGGAGTAGGAGCCGTAGACCTGTGTCCTATTCTTACCTCTGTCTCTCACTTGCTGTGCAATCCCAAGAAGGTTTTTGCTTCTTTGTGCCTTGGTTTCCTTATGAGCAGAAGGCAGAGCCTCAGCATCCTATAATAATGTGACTCTATCACTTATATGAATGAAACATTAGTAAACAAATAAATAAATTCATCACTTGGAGAATCCGATACCCAAGAGATGGTCTCCCATAGGCTTTTCCCCATCTCCTACAACAGCTTCCAAAATAATTCAAGATTCTGCTGAAAGTCCTGCTAAAACCAGAAGAGCCAATACCAGAAGAACTTACCCCTTCCTTTGGGTCACTTCCAAATCCCCCTTCCACCAAACGAGGAACAATGAGGTACATAATTGGAGTACAGGAAAATGACAAACAATAATCATAATAATGATAACTCATAATGATTTAGGGCTTATTATGCTCTGGTTTTGTTCTGAATGCATTACATTCGTTAATTCTTTAACACTCATAACAACACTGCAACTATTAGCTCCATTTTATAGATTAGAAAACTGAGATCTAAAGCAGTGAAGGAACTTGTCAAGGTCCCTTAGTGAGTTCAGTGACGAGATTTCAACCCATCACCGTCTGACTCAAGAGCTCCCTACACTGCTCTCGGTGAAGCTGCAATCTGGAGTGGCCAACACATGTTCCCTCAACAGACTCCCTGCCCACCGTGTCCCACTTGCTTGGGCATCCTTTTCCCAATCCCTTGCTTGTCTCTCTTAGCTCTGCTGGCTGAGTCTGGGAGAGAGTAAAAGTCATAGGGATGAGGGGTTTGGCTATCTTTTCTTTGCTTAAAAAATTCTTTGTCCAAGAGCTCTCCCCCACCATTAGCTTGGCATGTACTGAAGACTCAAGAATAAAGATTGGAGAACGAAAAAAAAAAAAAAATTCTTTGTCCTTCCTCCAAATGGAGAACTCGAAGTTTTCCAGGAAATTAACTACAGCACCATTTTCAAAACAAAACAAAAACTTTGTGCCAATTATATCATCTACCAATCCATAGGCATTGGGGGGAAAAGTACATACAGAAGAATTTGGTTCTTGGTAAGAACATGTTTTAATTTGAGAAGGGCAATTCTTGGCTCCAAGTAGGGACAGGGCACTTCTGTGTCAATAAAGTGCTGTCAATAAAGTGTCAATAAAGACCCTGCTGAACTCACAGCAATCAGGGCCGTATGAAGAGTTTCAGTGTGGCCCTTCAGCAACATTTATATCCTTGCCTATTGTTTCTGGAATGATGATTATTCTAAAAGAAAGGAAATTAGTTTTAAAGTCAGAGAGGGCTAAGTTCAAATCCCTGGTTGATCGTTTATCAACGGTGTAACATCAGGCAACTCACATAACATCTCTGAGCCTCAGTTTCCTCATTTGTAGAGTGGGCCTGTCATATATCATGGGATATATGAGGAATTTAAATGCGGTAACATAGTAGAAAATACACATCACACTGGATGCTCTTTGTTGGCTTCTTGCCCCTTCCCTATGATTTTGGCTCTCTTGATCCTAAAATAAACATTAAGGTCAGATATGAAGGTAGAAAGAAACAGTAAGCTGGCAGCACCAAGGAGGTCATGGGAAATGCAAAGAACCCAGACACTCCTTGTGCCTTGGTGATTACATGGGAAGGTATCAAGTGATTAATCATCTCCAGCCGTCTGCAGAGCAAGTCACCTCTGGTCTTCCTGGAGCACCCAGCATTCAGAAGCAGGGGCTGGGTGGGTGGGATGGGTAGCGATGGGCAGAATGATCCTACCGATGAGTGGGGCGGCTCTCGCAGATAGGCCTAGAGCCTTCCTTCTATCCTACCCTGATACTGGCAGCAAAGGCTTTGGTGAGGAACGCTTGGGTCAATGGGACACACAATGCACCCAAGCGTTCCCTTTCAAGTAAATCACTTTTAGTGTCCTTTATAATTGGCACTTCCTTGAAGGATAGGAGTTAGATGTTGATTTATAATACTTTATTGATGCTTTCTCATAGTCCAGTGCTGTTTGTGGTCCAGTTTTTAATCTTAACACTAACACAATTCTCCAGGGAATTGTCAGACCATGGCCCAGTGGCCCAGGTTTACAGAGGACAATTCTAAATCTCCTGGCCAATTCCAGTTGAATTCATTGTCAGTTACTGGGTCCTGATGGGCCAGGGTCATTCTGACCTATGTGCTGCTTATCTTCACAACTAGATTCTTCCCACTTCTGGGCCATTTGTTCACCACCTACTTGAGGTTTCAACTCACGCTTGCTGTATCTCAGGAGGTAACTATGGAGCTCAAATATGAGGCTCAGAGAACATGCTCACTCTGGGCAGGGGGTTTACTTTTGCTTACCTCACTCCTGAGGCCAAGTTCCCAGGACTGGTCTTGCCTTAATACCACGTTCTTGGGAACTGTGGCTCTGTCCTAGTTGTGTTTGGGTTGGTCCCAGCCCTGTATATCAAGCTCTGATTCTTGTGCCTGCTCTCCACTCAGGTGGTCTACTTTCCTGCTTCATTATTTGGCTCTGCCTTTACTTCTCATTAGCAAACTCTACTTGCTAACCTGCAGGAATATACAAACTCTGCCCTGGAATATTTTGGATACTATGCTGTTTTAGAAGCTCTGTTTCACCACCTGCCTGGTCTTCCCATACTGGAAGTGGAAGCCTTTGAGTTAGAGGTCAAGGGCTTACACAGCTGCCCCATCTTATTGCACTGAGCACTTCAGGGAATTCTTTAATGAGGAGCAAGGAGGAAAATGCACCATTAAAATTAACATGGACATCTGAGTCTAAGGAAGAGACTAAAGTGGAAAGACAGATTTTATAGCTACTCCAACAGGGAAGGACAGTGGAAACTTTTTGTTTTCTTTTCTACAGTACAGACAAAATTCTAAATGAGCAGGTTATAAATGAAATAGGTAATAGGTTACTACAGGGAGAATGTTTTGGGGCACTAGACATACACAAAAAGACCAGCTCTCATGCTGGAAATTAATGCAATCACTTTGCATTCACAATTCTTATTTTAAAAAATACATATGTCTTCTTAATTTCTCTTTCTGCTAATTTGTTATTTGTACACAGAAATCCAATGGAAGAGAAAATAAGAAAAAAAATCCATTTACAATTTCAACAAAAAGAGTAAGACACCTGGAAATAAATCTAATCAAGGAGGTGAAAACCTCTACTCTGAAAACTGTAAGACACTGATGAAAGAAACTGAAGAAGACACAAATAAATGGACAGATATTTCATGCTCATGAATAGGTAGAATTAATATTTTGAAATGGCGATCTTGCCCAAAGCAACCTACAGGTTTAATGCAGTCTCTATGAAAATACCAATGGCATTTTTCATTGAACTAGAGCAAAGAATCCTAAAATTTTTGTATGGAACTACAAAAGATTCCAAATAGCCACAGCAGCCTTGAGAAACAACAAACCTTGGGGTACCACACTGCCTGATTTCAAACTATACTACAAAGTTACAGTGATCAAAACAGTATGATACTGGCACAACAACAGACACATAGATCAATGGAACAGAATAGAAAGTCCAGTTATAAACCCAGGCTTATGTGGTCAATTAATATTTGGCAAAGGAGGCAAGAATATACAATGGGGAAAAGACAGTCTCTTCAATAAATAGTGTTTGGAAAATTGGACAGCTACATGCAAAAGAATGAAACTGGATCACTGTCTTATACCATACATAACAATAAATTTAAGATCTGAAACTATAAAACCCTTAGAAATAAAACATAGGTAGTAAACTTTACATCAGTATTAGTAATTTTTTCTGAATACATCTCCCCAGGAAAGAAACAAAAACAAAAATAAACAAGAAGGACAGCATCAAACTAAAAAGCTTCTGCACAGTAAAGGAAACCATCAACAAAATGAAAAGGCAACCTGCTGTATGGGAAAATGTATTGGCAATTAATATATCCAGTAAAGGGTTAGCATCAAAAATATATAACAAACACATACAACTCAAAACCAAAAAAGCAAACAACCCAATTAAAAATGGGCAGAGGACCTGAACAGACATTTTTCCAATGAAGACATACAGATGGCCAACAGACACATGAAAAGATGCTCACCAGTCAGAATGGCTACTATCCCAAAGACAAGAAATAATAAGTGTTGGTGAGAATGTGGAAAAAATTGGGAACCCTGCTACACTGTCAGTGGAAATGTACATTGGTTCAGCTACTGTGGAAAGCAGTATGGAGGTTCCTTAAGAAACCAAAAATAGAAATACTGTTCAACTCAGTAATTCTACTTTTGGGTATTTATCTGTGCAATTTGACACAACATGGATGGATCTAGAGGGTATTAGGCTAAGTGAAATAAGCCAGGCAGGGAAAGACAAATACCATATGATGTCACTTATATGTGGAATCTAAAAAACAAAACAAATGAACAAAACAGAAATAACCTCATAGACACAGAGAAGAGACTGGGTTGCCATGGGGCATTGGGGTAAGATGGGTGGGTGAAATGGGTAAAGGGGATAAAAAAACACAGAATTCCAATTCTTATATAAATTAGCCACTGGGAAGAAAGAACATTACAGGGAAATAACAATATTGTAATATCTTTGTATGTTGACAGACAGTAACTATACTTATTGTGGGGAGCATTTAATAATGTAGGTAATGTTGAATCACCATGTTGCATACCTGAAACCAATATAATATTATATATCAACTATAGCTTAATACAAAAAATACGTGTGTGCTATTCCATCATTCAACCAAACTTTATGAAACACCTACTGTGTATGAAGTCTTCTGGCAGGTACTCTGCTCAAATAAAACATAGATTTATATAAAAATGAAAGAACATAAGACAACCCAGTCAGAGACACAGTATAATTTGGGAGAGTCAGAATGGTAAGTTTTTAGAAATCTTAAATATTCATTCTTTCTGCATTTATAAGGTCCATGGTGCTTTATTCAGTGGCAGTTGCTTTCAGAAGAGAAAAGAAACAGGTTCATACTAATTTTCATTGCACTCATTTGTTTAAAGCAATATTCTTACCGGCTCCTTCGTGCACCAAGCTATAGAAATTAAAACGCATGTTTCTGCTGAAATGGAGACCTACACTGAGTGGTAAGTTGGTGCTGGTTTGCCTCTGATTTTAGTGAATGTCGATTTCTTACTGTTTCAAGTTTTGGTGGGCTCAGTCTTGAGAAATTAGTAGATTTAGTGCGGGGGATCTAAGACTGTTGTAGCCATAAAGCAATATATTTCATACAGGGAGTTACAACGGGGAGCAGATGGTGAATATTTCACTAGGTAGGGTGCAGCCCCTACCACACTCATTCTCTCCTCTCATCTCTGGTGGTGAAAAGCTGGACAGGACTCTAATGGTTGGCTAATGAGCATGATTAAAGCCGGGTAATGACTCATCCTTGGAGAAAAAGTTCAACCCTGCAGAATACATTCTGCTTTATAATCTGTGAACTTCCCTTCCCACTGATGGGGACTAGAGATTGACGGACTTCCAATATATGCAGGGTACAAGGTTTGCTGGAAAAGAAGGCACCTTCAAAATGTCATGGCTTGTGATGCTCTTCTGCAGACAGGAGGGCTCCTACTAGAGGTGTGCAAAGGGGAACCTGTTTTCCCCTTTACTGTCCCAGCCTCTCATCTGGCAAGAGCTGCTGTGGTTGAGTCTAAACAGAAATGCGTTGTTTTCTGTGAGGATTTGATTAACACCATGCTGTCGAGTCTTTACGGTCAGGCCAGATTATATTACAGTCATGACAAGTAGTTAATGAATTTACATTGACTAATCCATACAATGCTAAAGATTTTTCTGTCAGGATTAATATCCAAAATTTGCAGGACACAATCTGATGTGTGGCTCTGCTCCTCGCACAAGTGTGACCCATGGCTGGTGTTTAATGTCCCATGATCAGAGCTAAGTGATAGACAGGAGTTGGACTGTGGCATTCAGGACTGTGTGGAGAATTCTGTAAACAAACACCAAGGATGATCTTATTCCTCTTTGATTAGGCATCTTATATCTTGCTTTCTTCTCTAGGAGCTGGGGCAAGGACCTTTAAGAAGCCCCTCAGGACCCATGGTACCTCTGCACATGGCAATATAGTTTTCTCGCTCTTGTCTGGCTACCTACCTCCTCATCACTGCTTGCTCCTGCCCTTTGTTTCTTCTGCTGTGTGTACTCAGCATGATTTTCCCCTGATCTATTGTCTTGTTTTGATCTTAGGTACCTGCCATCCCCTTACATCAAACATGACACACTCCAGACCACTTGCTTCTTCCAGAACCTTGGCTCCACCCTGTCCATGACCTCACCGGTCCCTCCAGCCTCCCTCAGGTCGAGCTATAGCATCTTTCCATAAATATGAGCTCTGCGGATGATTATCATTTCATGTTGGCCCCTGTTGTAAATCTGGGTGGTAAATACCAAACTATAGTGGGCATCCAAATCAACTGGAGAACATGTCACACGAGCCAATTCACCACTTTATCCATTGGGTCTGTGCAGAGTCCCATGAATCAGCTTTCGATCAAGGAGTACAAATAATTCTTCACACTTGACAAAAAAAAAAATGTTCACGGTTCACACTTGGTCCACACTTCAAGAATTAAGGACACCCTTTGTCAGATCACCTCCAGCACGTCTCTGCTCCTTGGCAGCAGCGTCTGCACTGACACGTTTATTGGCAGGGTGATGTGGGCAGATTCCGCCACGGTGGCATCAGCTCTCTGAGAGTAGACTCTCACTACCATAAAAATTCTGTTTTTTCACAGATCCTGATCTGGAAATCAAAACCTTTGGCCTCCACTGGCTCTCTCTACTCTCAAATTCTGGTGATTAGAGGTGATAAAAATGCATTACATTGACTGAATGAAAGCCCTTTCTGGAGAGACTATCTAGGGGAGACCCCAGTGGCAAACTGGGAGAGAAGAGAATGACGCGTAAGCTAATGGTCTCAGTGGCTGCGGCATCCAGGCGGTCATTTGAAACTGAATTTGCTCTAAGTCCAAGGCTTGCCTGAAACTTACGGAAGTCCAGGAAGCTTGGCTTACACTCTATACTAAGGGAAGTTGGGGTAGGAAGAGAAATATCACTGTATATTCGGGATCACGATGGGTAACTTGACTTAGGCCTATCGAGAGTCATGATTCTATGATGCGTTAAGAGGGTAACATACTGAGGACCTGAGAGGTGTTGGGGTTTTACAAGCACCACTGCTTTGGCTCTTTACAACAACCCTGTGCAGTGAGTAAAATTGTAACTACTTCCCAGTTGAGGAAACTCAAGTTCAGAGAATCTAGTAGTCTCTCCCAGATCATACATGTGGCATTGGCAGAATGAGGATTCACACTCAGGTCATCCTGACTAACCCACTGCAAAACATTATGCTTGAGGACAGTGAAGATGTTAATTTGACCCAAAGCTGTGGAAGCTTTCTGTCTTAAAGACACTGGAAACGTCCTGAACTCTTGCTCACATGTCTTCTCTTCTGGGAGATGGTACAGTGTTTCTCAGGCCTTAGATGCCTCTTCATGAGTGGTTAATGTAAGACTCTTGAAATGTAACAGATGAATAATACGTTGTCATCACATTAAATAATTGTCAAAGACCAAGGTCTTATGTGTACAGATGTTTTCTTCCAAGTAAAATCAGCACTAAATATATAAAGTTTATTCTTACAGCCTCTGAAGGTTGGGTGGAGCACGTGCTATCTATTTCCCTCTCAAATGATCCAATTTGCATCTCAGTTCAAACACCTCCTCTTCCAGGAAGCCATCTTGATTTTTACAAAAGAATTTTGCACTTTCCTCTGTGTCTTCTGTTGGCCATTTTATGTTCAACATCATATTCTGCCATTGCAATTTCTTGGATCCATATTCATCGCCCCTCTCCTGACTGCACATGCCTAAAGGAAAAGAATTGAGTTGTATTTATTTATATTCAAAGCCAATGTTAAATAAATGATGAATGAATTAATAAATGGGGAACAAACCACATTTCTAAATGGATTCTTTGCCCAAAGGCTCATGTTTAATAGGGGCCACAAAAACAAGCTCTGAGATCTCAAATAAGCACAAATGTACCTTGCAAAGTGTTCATCTAGAGCCCAGTGTTGGCAGAAACACTAACTAGTAAGTCAGCGTCTTGGCGCTGGAGCAGCTTAAATCTTATCTGGCCCTGACCCAAAAGGGAAGATCTGGGTAGCTGGGCAGCTGAATTCCCCTCATTTCTCTCCACCACAAGAGATGCATTGTTACTCAGTAAAGCTAGTTAGTTGACATCCTATTTCACACCAAATCAGGGACCCAGGCTTGTCCTTCCTCAGAAGGGGTCTAGCCCACAGTGGCATTCCCACCCTGTCTTCTCTGAACTGCTACTGACTGTCACAGTGGCATTTCCCACTTTCCAAGGGCTGGGCCATGGCCTCAGAAAGCATCCAGGTTCATGAGAAAGGCTCCTCCTAGCTTGTGAATTCCAGCCGTAGGGCTGGAGCACCACCAGACTTCCAGGAAGGCTCATAAAGGGGCCAGTTATAACATTCACACTCTGTCGGAACACGTTCCTTGGGTCCCAGTTGGTTTTGGCTGAGAGAATGGTTGGCCAAGAACACGGAGGCAGATGCAATTCCAAAATACAGTCCATGTGGCCAGGGCAGCACAGGGACCCTGCTGGGGGACCTCCCTGAAAGGCCTCCCCAAAGCAACTCACTTAAGCTATTCTGGCCTAGCCTGGCATAGGCACCCCTTAAGGTCATTTTATTTGGATGTTTTATGATGTTTATTTGCATGCTCGGGGCTGTTTCTCTTTGGTTTGAAAACTCCTGTTTGGACCTAGGTTTTAGATGCTTTTTAAAGTGAAGAAATTTCTGTCCTCCTTCAAGCAAAAGTGTTGAAAGATCTTGTTTGTTCAGTGGTGAGTACCTTCTACAAGAGGAGAAAAGCAGACCAAAACATGATTTTTCTTCAGGCTTCGAGTGGTTGGGGAAAATGTTGGTTCTGGATCTAACTTTGGAGTCAGCCTTTCAACATTTGTTCATTTGACTTAAAATTATTAAACACTTACCTTACATTTGGCATTGCACTTGGTACTGATTTGTTAGAAAGGAAAATGAGGTTCCTGCTCCTGGAGAGATTCCAGATAAATTGCAGAGCAAAATCTTTACCCTAGAAATAGCAGGAGCATGATTGCCAAGCAATAAGGGCTACTCTGCATATGGGTTCTTTATGCGGAATCCAGGTTCTCCAGGGGCATGTAACAGGGCATGTGTGTGCATGTATGTATAGTTACTGAGATCCTCAAAGGGTTCCCAGGATAAACTCCACTGCATTAGAAGTAACTACCCTCTTGTTTATTGTGGCTCCACTCTCAATCCTGACTCTCCAGGCTAACATGTCAAAGTGAACAAATTCATCTTGTCTTTTATTTTTTTACCTGCTATCTCAGATTCTGATCAAGAGGCTGTGTGTACCAGATTGACCTGCTCAAGTCTTAATAATCTGTATTTTAACAAGCATATATTTAAACTTGGAAAGATAGACTCTTCCTCTTCGCTGAAAGGATTTTGTTAATAAGCATTTTTCTTCCCAAACAACTCTAGTATCATTGGTAAATTTTCTGTTTCCTACCTTGGTCAGATTAGGAAAATAATATTTTATTTCAAATGAGATAACACAGAATGCACTACTTGTGCAACTGTGATGGCATTCGATTATAATAACTGTGTTCTGCCTCTTAACTGAGTCCTCTGCCTAGAGAGAATGTTAAGTTCCTAGGAGGAGGTAAAGAGTTACATCTTAAAAGCGTTTTAGTGTCCAAAAGTTCTGGATTGAACAGAGCCAATGTTCCACCTAATCACCACACCTTCTTGGCCTGCCAGCCTCCCCTGGGTGGGTCATCATTGGTGACAAGACATGCATTGACTGGAGATTTCTGTGCTGGCCCGGGATGCTGCCACACATAACCGCGATGTTGATGGCCTTGCCTGGGATCCTGCAGCACGGTGGCTCTGCTATGGCCATGAGGAAGTTCTTCCTTACAGCATGTCACTGCATTTTCACATGGTTGGCCTGGGTTCTGCCATCTAGGACCACCTAGAACAGGTGGTGTCTGTCTTACAAGGGGGTGCCTTCAGCAAGAGAAGCTTAGAGTCTAGCACCACGGAGAACTGAGTGAATGAATCAATGAAAGAATGAAGGAGTTTCTAGTTGATCCTGTGCTAGAAATAGAGAGACTGAGAAGAAAGACCCAGAGCTCATCAGGTAAGCTCACAGCTGCTGGGACTCTTAGTTCACTTCTTTTTACATCTGGTCTCTAGTGGCTAGCTCTGTGGCTGGTTAGCTTGGTGGTAGGGTATAGCTTCAATAAAACCAAGGTCTCAGACACAAGCCCTCCTCAGATACAGCTATTATTATTATTATTATTAATATTATTATTCTCCCTGGTTACAGGCTGCTGTCCTTATTATTACCAGGATGATTTCTTCCTCTCTCTTTAGGACATGGACACATAATTATTACTCTCAAATGTTTCTAAAAAGAGTACAGAGTTACTGAAAACAGAAGCATAGGACCTATAATTTGAAAGAAAACCTAAAAGTCATTCAGTCTCATCTCTGCTCTGATCCTCTAGGTCCATCTATAATATCTTTGACCTGTACTTACAGTTTGGTGATAATAGCAAGTATTCTTACTGCTATTATGATCATGGTTTATTGAACTCTTATGTACATGCATTATCTCATTTAACCTTTACAACAACCCTGGGGGGTTGGTACAGCCAATGTACACATTATACAGATAAAGAGGCTTTAGCTGAGAAGGGTTAGGTAAAATTCCCAGGGTCACATAGATCTTAAGTGGCAGTGGCCAGTTTTTAACCCAAATCTGCCTGACTCCAAAGAAGCCAGCTCTTAGTTGCATTCTTTCCTATACTGTTTCTCTGCCCACCTCCAGTGACAGGGGCTCACCTTCTTTCAATGATGCTCTTAGGAAATTCTTTCTCAGACAAATTAATTTTCTCATTCATTCCTTCCTCAATTCAACAAACATATACTGGGTTCTCTGTTCCAAGTCTTAACTGTGTGTTTCCATATATACAGGTCTTCTGGATCTTCTACCTGGGTCATGCAACAACTCTTTATTTTTCATATATCCACTAAGTTTTTCTTCAGTCATGGACCCAGTTCCTTCAAAGCCTTTCATGGTGGATGGCTTCCATTGCTTTCTTTGTACTGACCCCCTCTTCTGCAGCCATTAGACCAATTTAGTACCTGCTGCAATGTTCTGTTAGAGCAGAACTATCATCTTCCTCAAGAAAGCATGTTAATGACAGGGACCTCTTATATGTCATGTCCATGCAATTTCCTGGTTTTGCAACAAATACAGCTGACCCTTGAACAACATGGGGACTAGGAGCAGTGACAAAAATCTCCATATAACTTTGATTTCCCCCAAACCTAACTACTAATAGCCTGCTGTTGACTGGAGGCCATACCAATAACAGAAATAGTCAATTAACATACATTTCATATGTTATATGTATTATATTCTGTATTAGAACAAAAAAACAAACTAGAGAAAGGAAAATTGTTTTTCACATTTGTCTCCAAAATTTTTTCCTATTCATTTACTGAAAAAATCCACATATAAGTGGACCTATGCAGTTCAAACCCGTGTTATTCAAAGGTCAACTATAGTAGCAAATAAAAATATCTAACATTGATTGAGAATTTACTATATACCAGCTACTGTTTAAAGTGCTTTACATGAATTAACTCATTTCATCTTCATACCAACTCTACGTAAGGTATATACAATTATTGTTCCCAATTCACAGATGAGAAAACTGAAGTTCTGAGAGGTGGAAAAACTTGCCCAAAGTCATTTGGATAAGAGAACCCTAACAGTCTTGTTCCAGAAGCCACACTTTACCTCCCACAGTGTTTTCTATTAGCTCAGGAAGGGTAGTACCAAGGCCCATTTTCCACCAGCCAAGGCCAGTTCCTCCTTAGCACCGACTCTTGAGTCCACAGAACTGGTTTCCTGGGCTCATGACAGACACTCCCCAGTTCAGCAACACTGAGCCCTGGCTCTTTGCATTTCATACACAAAACCTTCACAAAGCCCATCTCTGCATCCCAAACCCAGGTTTTTCCTGTTTCTGAAGGCACAGTGCACCTTAACTGAAAGGATGGCTCCATTCTTCTTCCCCAAATTCTCCATTAATGAGGCAAAATGCAAAACTCTTCCTCCTTTAGTAACCCGGTTGCATATGGGGAGCTGGGCATACCTACTAAGCTCCTAAAATACGTATTCCTTAAAATAGCAGATATTTTAAAAACCAAATCATACCCCTTTTTTAGTATCTGCCACAAGTTCCTTTATAAACTATTAGTTAACATTTACTAGTCTTGTCACTCTTTATAGGAAAATGTTTTTTGAACATCCTATTTATATAGGCAGAATTTTCTCCCCAAAGAGAAAAACTATGCAAACTTAACAGATCTTTTATTTGTAATTTAAAGATGATTCTTTCTTCTGAACATGTATAATTTATGTTTATGCATTAATTCTGTAATTAATGGTTATAAAATACATCAAATATGTAAAGTGCTGCGTAAGTGCTTAATTAAAATAAAAACAAAAAAGTGATGATAATTAACTGTTTGTCCCAAAGGCAAGGCAGTATTATAGTTCATAGTGACTATCAATTAATATTCCTATTGTTAATAATATGCTCAACTTTTTGTAAAATAGAACATGTTAAAATTTCCTGATTAAACATTGAGTCAAAAGAAAAAAGTTCCTAAAAATTATTTTCATCACATAAAGCCTCTGTGGGAAAACAGCTTTCAAATGTTGTATTTCAAATCCTGGGTTGAGTTCAGCTTCATTATAAATTTTTTGA